GGCATCTGCGATGCTGGAAAACAAGTGTGAAAACCCCCTCTTGACAAGACCTGTTGGTAAATTCTAAGTTTCTTAAAAAAAAAAAAAAAGTGTATTGCCAAAGGAAATATTCTTAAAGTTTACTTAATTATGAGAATCTAATTCCCCCTAATTAAGTCCACAGCTTGAAACTTTGCCTATTGAGTTAAGCTGAGTTGATATAAGAGTAATGATTAAAATAATCCCTTACAGTGAGTAAACTACACTTTATTACTTTATTTTCAATCAGCTTTAGGTTTCCCAACAGCATATTTTGTGCCCAGTTCTTATCTATTATTTCAATTATTCTCATTATATTTGGTTTAACCTAAATTGAAAAGCACTTGACATTTTGTGTACGTATTAACAGACAGAGAGGAGAGGGGCTCCTCCCTTGTGTTGAGCTCTGCAGGGAAGTTCACAGCTCCTTGCTTTGAGGCATTATCAAGGAGCAAAGTCCACAGGTGTCCAGATGAGGTTTTATTTTATTTTTTAAGGAAAGGAAAGTCCACAATTGGAATATAGAATCTGATGCTGTGTTAGATCTTCTATAAGGAATTCCAACAAATTAGCTTCAAACCTCCTCAATTTCAACAATTGGAACAGTATGGGCCCAGCGGGTTTTCTTTGGACAGAATTTAGGCACAGAGCATTCAGCCTCTCCCAACCTGTGTTCGGTATACTTTGTATGGTCAAATTGCTGCAGAAGACTGAAGAAAACCAAGGACGCTTCTGAGGAAGCAGGAGGGACAGTGTTTAATATGCCACTGACTCAGGGAACAGCCTTCCAAATCTGAGTGAAGGAACACGCATGGGGCCCTCTCTTATATCCCCCTCCCTGTGATCTTAGTCCCACAAACATGAATTATGCTTCCGGTCCTTTTCTCAGGCCTTGCAAGAAGGCCCCTAGGTGTTGAGGATCTCCAAGCTATATCTGATGGCCTGGCCTGGTGCCAGCGTTAATAACCCTCCCTCCCGGGCAGTGCACTGTTCACAGTAACAGATTCTGCAAGACCAGTATCTGGGAAGGAGAGAGGGACTTAATTATAGGTTATCAAGAATGTACTCTGAGCTTGCTGGCTTGGATTTGGGTCACTAGCCCCGAACATCAGGGTTACCTTAGCCCTGTTAGCATTCTCAAAACGATACTTTCCTCTTTGTTCCATAACCTTAACGAAGATTTCTATGCCTTCAACAGAAAGCTGCAATTCAATAAGCATCGTTTACATTATAATAAGTGTGGCATATATTTCATGCAGCCCCTAGTATGGGGGCTAGGATTACATTTCTCTGACACTTAGGGAGAATGTCCCAATGATTTCCTCATATTGGCACCCCATTTTAATTTTCATGCTATCTTTGAAACATGCTTTCTTTGCACCTCTGATTTGTCTTTTGTTTTCGTCACTTCCTCCCTTTCTCCCTTCTTCCCTTCCATTTTGTTAGGATTTTGATTGCCTTTATTTTTTTAACTTGTTAGGAAAAGAAACATGAACTTATAAGCTTCCGGGTTCTTATCTACTTACGTTTCATTTAGAAATGTTTCCATTGTCTTTAAGTCAGTGCTTCCTGTTTTAAAGTGGTGACTGGTTGGTTTTGCTTTCTCTGGGATGTCTAGGTCCCTTCAAAGTTTTCTGAATTTTCTACTTTTATTTAAACCTCAAGCTCTTCAAACGTCTCGTTCCTTCTCTTCTTTGCTATGGCATCTGTGCAGAAATCCTCTTTGAGCCCCTCCATTCTCCTGCTTCCTCCAGACAGGTGGCTTTCTATTTGGGGTGCATTACACTTTTGACCGCTTCCTCTCGCTGCTCTCCTGAATTGGATCCACTGTTTTGTGGATGCCATATTCAGTGGTGTGCAGGTAGACATTTAACAATAGTCTCCCATAGCAAATAAACAAAACCCTTATTTTTAGCCTTTCTCAGCATTCGTAGTAAATAGCCCCATCATGGCCGATGTCCAGTTCCCAACTTGAGGCCACTGGCCTTAAAGTTGGGAAGAGATGCATATAATCCATGTTCCCATGCCTGCACCAGCAGGCAGCATCAGCATCATCTGTAAGGACTGTTTTGACACAGAGATTTCTAAAAGATGTTCATACTTTTTCTGAGTTAACAAAGCAAACAGGATATCATTTCATTTAACTTGGTGGCTCTGGGCCATTATTATTAATGTCAAGCTCTGAGGCAAAAAGGGATGTCTTTTTAGAGTTGTAATATTCAAAGAGGAGATAGTTGCCTGTAAATGAAATACCTAAATAGCTTAACATGAAAATTAGATTAAACATTAAATAGCCCTGACCGGGTGGCTCAGTGGGTTGCAGTGTCCTCCTGTACTCCAAAAGGTTGTGGGTTCAATCCCTGGGCAGGGCACATCAAGGAGGCAACCAATGGATGTTTCTTTCTCACATGGATGTTTCTTTCTCTCTCTCTCTCTCTCTCTCTCTCTCTCTCTCTCTCTCTCTCTCTCTCTCCTAAACTCTCTCTAAAATCAATAAAAACATATGCTCAGTTGAGGGTTAAAAAATTAAGTAAAAATTGCAGTTCTACAGTATTTGTTTATTTTTGGTGGGCTTTTTGTTATCATTAGTTGACTTTTTAAGATACAATATTCAAATCTAGTTAAAGATTTGTATAGTTTTATAGCTGAGTCTTGCCTGACCCTTGATATTATCCTCCCTTTGATTTTCTTAATAGCCTTGTGTTTATGCCCTTATTTCAAGCCACCATAGTCCACTTTTAAGTGTTATCAGGTAACAAATATTAATAGAGATATAGTGTCCTCAATAAAAAATGAGTATTTTTCCAATAAATGATGTTAATTTGGCCTCTCTTTCATCATGCCTATTTCCTTTAACATCATAAAAAGAGAATGCTATCCATGCATTTTCTGACAGAAAAAAAAAGATTTTTTCCTCTGTTTGAAAAGTTCACTTTAAAGGTTTTTGTGATGCATGACAGCTTAAAATGCAGTTGCTTTTCAAAATGAATTGCCTGCAGCTGCTCTTTTGGATTTCTTTATTTTTTTTCTCTGAACACATCCATCCTGTTTGGACATTAAAAAAAGAACAAAACAGCGTATTTACATCACTGATGGGCCAATAAATGAAATAGTGCATTTTAAGGCAAGATTCCTGTGAACTAATTAGAGTCATAGCTGAGACAATCCAGGGATTGAAAATACAGTGGATGTTGTTGCTTATCCAGCTGATTGTGTTTTTTAGCCATTTCTGTGCATCTTCCCATTTGTGAGTGCAGGGCATGATGACAAATCTCTTGAAGAGCAGGAAATATCCATGAAATGAATGTGGTTCTGGCTGGTTGTCTGTAGGCATTTGCTCTTTTCTCACCCACAGCTTACTGAAGGTGAATCTTAACCTAGGTAGATTCAGCTTACTGGACAGTGGACATTTCTTTATGTCCAAGGTAATTAAAGCTATTCAGGCACACACCTGCCACATAACTAGAAAAATACCTAGGGTGCCATTTTCACTTCAATCTGCAGTTTCTAGTGCCATAACTGTGGCTAATAGTTGGATCACTTTATTAGAATTGCTATTTTATCAAAGTCAATCTAGAAAAATGCCTAAAATGTATGAGATTAATGTCCAAATACAGCAGGTAGAATTATCACATTTTTAGATATAGAATACAATAAATATCATGTGTACATGATAATGACATCGTTGGCATTCACTGGACTATACAAAATTCATCTCTGACATCATAAATGCTTTAAGTGTATCTTTGAAATACATTTTAGAATTATTTAAAATTTAGTTGTGTATCATCTATAATAATAAAAGCATAATATGCTAATTAGATCAGATCTGGAGGAACCTGGGGCTAAAAGGGAAGCCCAAGTCCTGAGTGCCTGTCAGGGGCCAGAGGGGGAAGCCCAGGTCCTGGGTGCCCGCCAGCGGCTGGAGGGAAGCCTGGGTCTCGGGTGCCAGAGGGAAGCCAGTGCCAACAGCTAGGGGAAGGAAGGCCTACTCTTGCACGAACTTTATGCATCTGGCCTCTAGTGCAAATATAATAAATGATGGCATGTCTAAAATTGTTATGGCCCTATCATTTTTATTTCAAAAGAATTTTACCTAATCAAGGTGAATTTTCATGCAGTAGGTGTATGATCTCAATAAAATATGATTCAAAGGGACTTTTTAATTCTAGTTTTACATGAGGGCATTGAGCCCAGAGTAAGTAAACAAGTAAGCTTCATTGTGAAAAAGTGGTTAGTCATTAACATCAATGATAGTCTAATGAAAGAAAAAAAAAACCCAGAATATTTGATCATTTATGTTTCACAGAGGAAGCAAGGTATGGTAGGAGGGTTGTTTTTCCAAAAACAATACTAGTTTTAGTATTGCCAGTCTGGCAATATGTTATATGTTCCAAATATGTTATAGTAAGCCAACCATTTTACTAAAACTAATGATAAATTGCTATCATAAAATATAGTGTCATAAAATATCTGTCTAGCTTTTCTACCATAGAAAATGATTTAGGGAGGATAGCTCTCCAGATAGGTTTAAAATCCATTTATATTTGAAATCATATTGCTCAAAGTTATATTAGTATGTTTTCTGAGAAAAGCCATAAAAAACAGTGTATGAAATAGGTATCACAACTTCAGTGATAATAATGTCCATTAGTGTGATTAAAAAAGAATATGCAGACTTCTCTGCCATGAAATAAAGATTAAAATGTATGATTATGGCCCTGACCGGGTGGCTCAGTTGGTTGGAGCGTGGTCCTATACACCAAAAAGTTTACAGCTTCCATTCTTGGTCAGGGAACATACTCAGGTTGCTGGTTTGATCCCCCATCGGGGTGCATATAGGAAGCAATTGATGTTCCTCTCTCTCTTTTTCTCAAATCAGTTTGTTTGTTTTTAAAGTATCCTCAGGTGAGAATTTTTTTAAAAAAAGGTATGATTGTGCTTGGGTTAAACGCTAATGGACTCTCTTTGCTTTGTTTCAGATCTCCGCATTAGAGAGGCAGATCTTTGATTTCCTTGGCTTCCAGTGGGCACCTATTCTTGGAAATTTTCTACATATAATAGTTGTCATATTGGGTTTGTTTGGAACCATTCAGTACAGACCTCGATATATTGTGGTGGTAAGTCTTATTTTTGCCATTTCTCTTTGTATAAATACTACAAAATTTCTCTGGGAAGATGAATAAAGTCATTTAAGTTGTTCCTTCTACTTAGAGGTGGCACTGCTGTTCTGGCTGTCACACTCTGAGTTCTGTTGAGATGATTATCTGTGGAAAGGAGGCAGCGAATGTTTACAATGAGAGCAAAGCAACATGACTATAAATGTGAGACTCACAGCGTAACTAAATTCAAGTATCACAAGGAATTTTTTTAAATATAAAATCGGGTTTGGGTAGAATAAGAGGTCTGTGGAGTTCTTGATGTCATTCTAAGATGTAAATATACACTAACTGTCATTTCAATTGACATGTGTCACCCTATAAAGCTATCCTACCTAGCCATAACTGTTTGCCAACTGTAAATAATAACATAATATAATTGATGTAGGCCATTAAAATGCACATACTAAAGGCCATTTAGTACTCACCTCTAATGTATTTTATATGGTATATTATTGACCATTTCTCCATTTGCTTAAGATTAATGTGGAACATGAATCCATACTCCAAACTATGCCAAACAGGGTCATCGTACTCTCTATCACAGTACAATTTAATAAGGTGTATGTTGTGGTCCACAATAAAATGGAAGTGATTCATAGTAGTTATGAATAACTTTATAGTTTTCTATAAAAATAAGGTAATATTTTAGGCTACAGATATAAGAAGCCTGTAAGAAATAACAGGCATAGATAAGAAATTGTAAATAGAAGTGGCATACTCTGAAATGCTTATTGACCCTGAATTAATTGACCATATTCAGTAGAATTACTAAATATTTTTTATAACTTAGTTACATTACCTCAGTAGAAGAAACCTTAGACTTAAAAATAAGTCATCTTTCAATCTTGGTATAATCCAGTAATATCTATAAAAAAGAATGAAGTCATACAATTTTCTGTAAATGCATTAATTTTCTACTTTGAATTTCAAAATTGAATTTTTGGTGAAGGTCAGGGGCTCACAGACAGACCCTGCCCTGGGGTGCAAGGCATGATTGAAGTCACTCAGCTGGTTGTGGGGGCTACAGAGTTCCTGCTTCAGATTTCTCTGGAAGCAGGCCTCTGCTGAGCCATGATGGAACGTACTAGAAAGCTGTTCCATGGAGTTGGATTTGCAGTATAAGATGCTTTCATATGCATAATATCAAACAATTATTGATTTAACATTCTAGTTTGTTGCTGTGAACACAGAGCACCTTTACTCGTTATGAACTTCTTATTTTATGGCATTGATGGCTTGCTGAAGCACATGCCAGATGGCTAGAAAACCAATGGTTTCCATGGAATAAAGTTGTTGGTGTACATCAGTGTGACATTAACTGGCCTATTGCTTTCACCTGTAACCATTAGTTCTACACACTCTTCACATAGCCACTGTGTTAGTTGAGGCATTGGCCTTCTCTCTCCTGCATATGGACCCCTCCCTTGCTTCCAGCGCTCCTCCTTTCCAAGGTGTTCTCAGCACTTTTCCTGAAGTAGTTGTTTAAAAGCCTACACTACTTCTCAGCAAGATAAAATATAAGAACAGGCCAAAGCCAGTTTGGCTCAGTGGTAGAGCGTTGGTCTGCGGACTGAAAGGTCCCAGGTTCGATTCTGGTCAAGGGCATGTACCTTGGTTGCGGGCACATCCCTGGTAGGGGGTGTGCAAGAGGCAGCTGGTCGATGTTTCTCTCTCATCGACGTTTCTAGCTCTCTATCTCTCTCCCTTTCTCTCTGTTAAAAATCAATAAAATATATTTTAAATATATATATATAAATATTCCTTGCTGACCAACCTGACCAAACTCAGGTCTCACAGTCAGTTTTTCCTTTTTTCCTCTTCCTTCCTTCGATCCACCTTTCCCATTTATCTCCCTCCCTTCCTTCATCTTTTCTTTTTTTCTTAACTTCCCATTCAAACCTTATTTATTGGGTTTCTGATGAGTGTTTGGCATTGCATTGGGTGTAGACTACACAGACACAACTATTCTCTGTTCTCCTGAGTACTTACAGTCTAGTGAAGGGAAGTGGGCCTTTATGAAGAAATCATCCACATACATGCTACATTAGAACTGTGACAAGGAACACATGTATCATGAGATGCACACTTGAACATCCATCTGCAGAAGTAAATGCGGAGTTAGTATGAGTTCACCAAGAAAGAAGGGACTGGAGGTAGTTCCGGGCAGGAATGACTACAGGGCACGTAGTGGGATGTCAATAGCACTAGTTCCCATTCACTCCTTAAGCCTTTATTGAGAACCTACTGTGATAGGTTGGACAAATAGAAAAGAATGTAAATGACAGTGTCCCTGCTCTCTAGAAACTCATTAAATAAGCAGTGGGGAAGCACAGGTGCAAGGAGAATGAGAATGCAATGGGCAGAGGCCAGGGCAGAGCATGAGCCAGCCTCAGAGACATGAAAGAGCAGAGAGTCTGACCCTCCACTCCTGCCTGAGCTCCAACCTCTCACTCATGAAGCCATGCCTAGTGTTTGTGCCCAGCTCTAGCATCATGTTCTCCATCACATGCACACTTCTTTCCACACACTACTCATGCCAGCCACACTGAATGATTTGTTTCCCTAAGACCATATGCTGTTTGCCTCTTCCATTTGCACACACCTGGAATGCCCTATGCTCCTTACCCACTTGGGAAGTGGGTAATAATCCTTCAACTGAATGTCACCTCTTAAGAGTCTGTCCTGATCACCCCCACATGAGACAAGTGCCACTTCCCCTCTGCTCTTTTAGATCCTGCAGGCTCTTTCTATCCTAGCACTCTACACTGTCACCATCCTTGCCTCTGGCCACCTCACCCCATCAACAGTGTTCTCCTGGCAGCCGGAACATGCCTATTCACTGCTGTATTCTAGGTCTGTCCCATGATGCTTAATACTTGATTGAATAAGTAACAAGTACATTAAAGGTTGTTGGATGACATTATTTTGCAAAATGAACTAGAAAAGGATATCTAACTTCAGAACATGTCTGAGTTCAACAAGAAAATCTCACCTTACTCCCTTGCTTAGCACATTCTCAACTTGAGGATTCACATGAAAAATAGTATATGCTACTCTGCCTGCACCTAAGTTGAGCTGACTTACTCCTCAACTTAACCTTTTTCTAAGCATGATAATGCCTTCGGCTCCTGCCACTGTAATTAAGGGGGTCCCACAGCAAAGACTATCAGAAAAATTCACCCAAATTACAAATTGAAAGAGTAGAATTCCCCTTGGATACCATCACTGCTGAAAAGGTAGAATTTGCTGTTTATTTTTAGAACACAAAAGAATGTTGCTATATGGCACTCTTTTACTGACTAAACTTTATTTTAGCTACAGTGCAAGGGAGGCTATCTGTAGTAGGGAATACAAGTTTAGTTGAAGAACTTGAACTCACTTTTCGTGTTTCTTTAGCTCAAGACAAAATGGAGCTGAGTGTGGGTTGTGAAATCCTAAGTTAGCAATTTTTTTTATTTTTTTAAATATATTTTATTGCTTTTTTACAGAGAGGAAGAGAGAGGGACAGAGAGTCAGAAACATTGATGAGAGAGAATCATCAATCAGCTGCCTCTTGCACACCCCACACTGGGAATGTGCCCGCAACCAAGGTACATGCCCTTGACTGGAATCGAACCCAGGACCCTTTAGTCCCCAGGCCGAGGCTCTATCCACTGAGTCAAACAGGTTTTGGCCTAATTTAGCAATTTTAAAGTACTGTTCCAAAATCAGCTATTTACCTCTCTTTACTCCTATGTCACATATTTGAAAATCTTACTTATGAATTCAGATATGAGATTCTGCCCTAGAATTATTTGGATCATAAATCTGTGTGAAGGATGGCAATTACTTTAATTTGAATTGTTATATAGAAAAAAATTTGCTTTGTCATCATACATCTCCTTCCTGAGCTACTGCTCAACACAAGTTAAAAAAGTTAGGTTTCCATTTAATTGGTGCCAGATTTAAGTCCTCCTCCACCAGTTACTGGCTGTGAAGAATTGGCCCATTTATTTGCTTTCTTTATACTATAGTTTATTTGTAAAAACCTGACTCATAGTTGTTTATAAGAATTATAATAATGTTTGTGACTTGCTTAGCGTAGCCCAACAGAGTAAGTGCTTAGTAAGTAATTGAACTGTTCAATGTTTAATGTCTTCTTTTTTCCCCCCTAAGCTATTGTACATGTTTTATCTAATTGATACACATATGAATGAATGAATGGGCTTTCTGGTAATTGGAAAACAAACAAACTCAGCAAGTAAAAATAAATCATGTTATAGACTAATTGCTCAATGAGGATGAAATAGAATGCAAACATTTTAAAGTTCATTTCAATTAAAAATATAAAAATATATAAACGGGAAATATTCACAGAGCACATAGGACACATGAAGTTTAGAAAAACCTTTATGGTCTTTGTCCATGTAAATTAGAACTTAAACTATGTGTACTAAACTTAAGCAAAGAAGGATAAAAAAAAATAAGTATATCAAAGATAATCATACAGTGTTTTGGTTTTTTGCATTTTGTTTTGTTTTTTACATTGGTAAGTTGTCTTCTGTATTGCAAGTGTACTAGTATCTAGATATATAAGCATGTAGGCATGCTTCATGATAACCAAAGAGCATTTGTTAAAAATGGAGTCTTATCTCTTTCTCTATTCTTCTTTGAATTGAATTATAAATAAAATAGTCCACATCAAAACGAAGACATATTTTGTCCTACCACTTCTTGCGTAGGTAAATATTTATGGATGTATTTGTATTGCTAGAGATGTCTTTCCCTTTATCTCCATGTAAAGACTTGTGTCTCAGGTGCACATTGAGATATGCAGTTTTCATATCATTACAATCCAGAATTCAAACATACAAACAATCTTTGTATCAGAAGAAAGAAACTTACATTATTGCTTTAAAAAATGTTCGTATCATACATGACACATTAATCACAAAATACAAAAGAAACCATCTTTCCATAAACATTGCCAGTTATACAGTATATAAGATGAAATGTATTTTTGGTAAACTAGTGATTTGGTGAATTGGTCACAATAAATTGTAAAATTTGATGAAGTGTTAACTCTCAAACTAATCTATAGTCCTTTTCTTAAGATCTTTTAAAATAAAGTCTATCCTGTAATCCTGACTCATCCCAGCTCCAGAGTCAAACTGTTTGAGTTTCTATCTTAACAATAGCACTAAGTTGTCAAATTATTCCCTCACTTCCTTGGTTGTCATGTGATGACTGACTGAATTAATCAATGTGAAGTGCTGAGCACAGTATCAGTAACATAGAAAGCAGCAGAGTACTCACTCTTGTTATTAAGAATTTAGCAGCTGAGAGTGGGAGTCTGCTCAGCCTGGGAATTTTCTCTATGAAGTTCAGAAGTGACCTCAGCAGTCCACCTGGTGAGGGGCCCCGAATGCACTTCAATCACTACACTTGTGCTCTGGTTTTTAAGTAGATTTGTTCTGTAATTCAGATGTTATAACTGTTACGAGTAGATTGACTTTCCTAAAAAGTGTACTTACGAGTTGGCTTTGCAATCCTAAAAATGAAAACCCATATGGTTTTGCAGTGAATCCCGTTCATTTCCTCTGCTAGTTTTGCTTCAGTTTATGTCCTTTCCTTAACCTTTATCACCAGCTTTATTCTCATTACTGAGTGGTCTGCAGTCTCTCTCATTCTAATATACTCATAATTAGATTTATTTAGGATGAAAAATATCAGATACCAGATGTAATCTTATTAGCAACAGCTTTAAAATGTATTGTTGTTATTGTGACTTGGCCAGTTTGCAAAAGGTATACATTGCAGATGTAGTTTAGCTATTTTCAATATTCTTGGGAATATTTTGTGATTCAAAAATGTATGTTTCAATGCATTTGGCCTATTTTTTAAAACTAAATTCACTCATATTAAAAGTTATTACTAACAGAAGATATCAGCAGAGCATCAATGAACCTGCAAATACTAAAATCCTTAATATATTTTAACTTACTTTAACTTTTTAATATATTTTACAGCTTTTCTAAATTTCCACTCATTTTGAAGTTATTATAATTGCATTATGTAATTGCATTATTTAAAAAAAACACAAATAAGCAAAACCTATTCTCAAAAAGAAAAAAAAAAGATAATGAGTTATCTAATGTAACCAATTATAAGACTACCCAAGTATATTGGATTATTTTGAAAGCCTTTTGAAAGTCATAAATAACAGAAAGACATAAAGTGTAAATTAAATTTTGTAAACAACTAAAAGCTTCTGATAAGATTTCTATAGGAACATGGCTATTTTATACAGGGTTTAAAATTTATATTATTTGACACAGAATAGACTAAGCTAATAAAAGGATTTCATTATTTATTTTAATTTGACAATAGCATGTGATGGTTATAATCATTGATAGAAACCAATAATTTAATTACTATGCCTTTTTAAGAAATTAAGAATTCATAGATTTTTGTCGTAAAATAAAATGAATGAGAAAACCATTGTATCTGATCTCTTAATTATGTTCCCATGGCAAGCACCAATTCTCAGCCATCCAAGCTGTTCTATATATCAGTTTTCTGGGCCTCAGTCTCTCCATCTACATAAGAAAATAGCTGGATGAATTGAGCCCTTAGACCTCCTCCATTAATTCAGACTGATTAATAGTCTTGAGGAAGGCATTTTCTAATATATACTACATTAACAAAACCAATTAATCAGTAAGGCTAGCATAATTTGTTCAATGTCATTGGAAGGTATTTTTCCGTTATGGAAATCTATTGTTCATGTGCTTATTTTAAATCCTATTTATTATTTCTATACTTTTAAAGATATTTTACACTATCATGTAATGCTACAATTATATTAGAGGCACACATTTTACTCTTAATAAAGTAGTATAATAGATGATGGTTTGTTAATTTTACTCCACACATCTATTTTCAGACATGATCTTCATTTAGGAAGACAGAAGTAATATTAGTCCATTTAGGAAGATGGACTAAAACATTCTAAAACTTGACAATTTAATATTATAACTAAAAAATTGATAATTAGGTAGATAGCCACCCAAGATTCATATAACTGCATTCCCCGGAAAAACTAATATTCAGAAAACAGAAATCAAGTCAGCACTTGTATTTAACCTGCATCTGCAAGCCAGCAATGCACTTTAAAAATAAATATAGCTTTATTGGCGTCTGCTGAAGGGGGTGGAAACTATTGGATTTTTAATTTCTACAGATCTTAGGAGACCTCATAAGGAGCACTCTTCTGAGCACACCCTGTCTCTTCCCAGAAGACTTAGGCTTATTGACATTTTGTTATTGATTGATTTCGTCTACATGCCTTTCATCTCCACATTTTTCTTCTCTTTCTCCCCACCCCTCCTCCTTTCTCTCCAGTATACAGTATGGACTGCCCTCTGGGTCACCTGGAATGTGTTCATTATCTGCTTTTATTTGGAAGTAGGTGGGCTCTCTAAGGTAAGTCTATCGTGCTTTTAAAATACACTTTGAAAAGTGTACACTAATAAATAATTATGATGACTATGTGTTATTAGGTATGCAGAGTGACCTAAGTAACATTACAAATGGAACAGTAATAAAAAATGAGTTCGGATACCGTTCAGGAAGAAATGATCTTGGGAGGGTTTCACGTAATGGAACTCCAAAGCAATGGCCTTGTGGCTCCGTTGGGTCAGCCGTGGTGGAACTCAAATTCCAGTGAGTCATGTCCACTTTAAAAAGGCCTAATGTACCACATGCTTTCACTCACGTATGATATTTAATGAGCAAACTGAACTACCCAGCAAAATAGACACAGACCCATAGTTAGAGAGTAGGCAGACAGCTCTGATGGGAGGGGGAGGTGTGTTGGGGGAATGAAGGAATTAAGAAGAAAAAGAGAGAACTAATGGACATGGAGTGTGGTGATTGGTGGAAGGTAAGTGGGAAGGTGAAAGAGGGCATAGAGGGACAAATGGTGATGGGGAAAATACAATAAGTGAAAAGACTGAATGTCACAATTACCACAGGACCAAATGTTAAGTGAAAAAAATGGCTCTGCATATTCTTGTTTTAAACTGGGAAAATAAATAAGATGCTAATGTAACAAATATGAATAGCAAGGTTCTTTCTTTGCTTGTATACTAATCCTAAAAAGTTAAATTAAAAAAAAAGTGCTTGACAATGAATGAAATCCATAGACATTTAAGTGGAACATACATTTAACTAACAGTTAAGTACATCAGTGCGGTGATCCCAATTTTGGAATCCCAATCTGACAGAGGAGGTATCTTAATAAGACATGATACAGATATTATTTCTAGGTCTAGTATCATCAGACCACATGATTTTCATATGACTCTGCATTGTCTTTCAACTGCCACCCAAATGTCAAAGCATGTTAGGTTAAGTTTCTAGGTGCGCTTCTTAAACATGTTTCTCACAAACCAGCACAATTTTCTCTTGTAGAAACTGTAGAGAAGAAACTCGACAGTATAATTACAAAAAAATAATAAAGCTGTAATTATATTTTTTAGATTTTTTTCACTGTCAACTATATTTGGGCTAACATAAGCTATTGCTTTATGATAGTCCTCAAATTTTCTAAGCAACCTAAGGTTCATCCACTAGCATTCATATTTTGATCTTAGGAAATCTGCCTTGACCAACACAGAGGCCTTTAAAATCATTAGGCTCCGTTGAAGTTCGTATGATAACGAAGAATTTTTGATTGAGCCAAGCAGCAAAAATCCCTAAAGGATTTCCTGCAGAACCTCCAAAGGTGGCTATCCTTTGTTCCACATTATCATAACTTTATAATTAGAACTTGTCATCATCTTCTCACATTGGCAAATGTACCAGGAATCAGAAATGGCATTTCTAATTCTGAGTTCATACAAATTCTCTAATAACTCCCTTTAATATTTATGCTATTAATCACATTTCACCACTAATTTCTAAGACAGAAAACAAAACCACTTAAATCAGTGCCCAGTTATCTTCTGTAACATGCAGATTAGAAAGCAATTTTAAAATGCAAATCTTGTGAATAACATAATTAGGAATAATAAGTTAAGCATAACATTTTTCAACACATAGCATTTTGTACCTTGTGATTTGAAATCATTTTAAATCATAATTTTATTCCACTGGGTAACAATTCCCTTTTATTTTCTTTTATATAAACTGATTTGGAGTAACTTAGAGGGATTTTATTCTGTGGAATTGGCATCATAGTGTGTTGAAAGAAGACTCAATTTCAAATTATAAGTCTTTTGTTTCAATCTTGTCTTTAGTACCGTACTTATTGACTGTGGGCCCTTAGGCAAATCATTTAACCCCACTGAGTCTCTGTGGAATATAAAAACAGGAACAGTTTTGCCAATTGGGTAGTAAATATGATTGTTGGGTTTTAACATTGCTTTAATGGTGTCATATATGGGAACTCAGGTAAGCTTCTAAGCAACCCTGTGAAGGATTAAAAAAATAATAATAATGATGCCATTTGTTTGCTCCACACAAGTTTGATTTTCCTCCTCTGCTCCAAGTTACTTTTATGGACTATCTTTCTGATATCAATGTGCATGTGAGGGTGTTTTTTTTTTTCTCATTTCTTTGGGTACAATGTTATAAAAAATGGATATGTAGTCTTGTTTACTCATTTTATTATCCACTAAAATGCTGTTAAGCTGTCAGTCAGTTATTCTAGGTCATTAAAAGGATGAATAACTCCAAAAGGAGCATCCTAAAGATTTTCTGTTGGTTTCCTTCTATTTACCACATCTAAGGCTGGTAACATTTCCCTGGTTCACCGGTGTAGTCTCAATTGCAATCTGTAGGAAATCTATTCTGAAAAATAGAGCAGACATAAGGACCCTAGACAAACCCAACCACCTCTGCCACCCACCCAGGTTGGGTTTTGTAAGACATTCCTTGTCCATTTGTGCTGATTTATATACTAACTTTCTAGAGCTTTCCTGCTAGTTCATGAACATATTTCTTAGAATTACCCACTTGAATATATTAATAGAAGTCTCCTTCACTGACTGGCTTATTTCACTTAGCATAATGCTCTCCAGTTCCATCCATGCTGTTGCAAATGGTAAGAATTCCTTCTTTTTTTTACAGCAGCGTGGTATTCCATTGTGTAGATGTTCCATAGTAAAAGAGAGAGAGAGAGGAAGACGGAGAGGGAGAGGGAGAAGGAGAGGGAGGGGGAGGGGGAACGGGAGAGAGAGAGAGAGAGAGAGAGAGAGTTAGTTCCCTTCTAACTTGATTATTGCCCAAAATATTTACTCTAAAGTAGTGAATCTTTCTCCTAAAACTGGATTCAGGTTAGTTTCTATAACATCTGTATGCATCTGAATCATACTCCAATGGCACGCACTACCAAACCTTTCTTATTAACTGAAAGTATGCATCCTTACGGGCATGAACAAGCATGAATCTGGCTTATTATGGGGATTCTTGATCGTAGCTTCAGGTTTTCCCTTTGCTGTTATCTCATCTGCCAACCAGCTCCACCTCGTTTGTTTGTTACTGTGATCTTGAGGGTCCTGATTCATTTCCAGAACCTGATTACTAAATGAATGTATTGTTTAATGTACATGGATGGTGGGGTCAGGATGACTATGGGTAGGTGACTAAAGATTACTTCCATAATCTACTGGAGCCCCAGTTTTCTTTTCTGAAAAATGAGGCAAACCACAACACTGATTTTACTGAATTGTTGAAAGAATTCAATAATGCATATAAGTGACTTGGGGTCTTGGCATATTATGATATTCCAGTGAATGGTGGTTTTTATCTTTGCCATCGGCATCATCATCTTTATTATTGTTGAAAAAATAACAAACATATCAAGTTTCATCCTAAAAACCTTTGAGACACGAACCTATTAATACACAAGAGCTGTAAAAGGGAACAATGTGGGGACGAGTGACTTGTTTTAAAAAAGATGTAATAGTCCCTTGTGATGGGACCTCGAATCTGCATATTAATTTCACAGCTGTAACACTATTAATTAAACCCTTTCCTTCAACATGTACATAGCTGTTTTGAAAAACTTCTATATCTAGATTTCCCTCGTGTCAAGGGAACCGTGTGCATCTTTAGAAGTCCCCACGGCTGTTTTCCATGCCACACTTTAAGATCACCAAGGGCACAATTAATAAGTTATTGCTGCTCATTTGGAAGTTGCTAGAATTGGAATAATTATCTTTCTCCCTAGGAATACATTCAGAATGTAAATATGTGAAAACCTACCTCACTTGCTACATTTAAAGATACAGAAAAATGTGATGTTGAGAACCCAAGTTGTACTTAAAAAAAAAAAAAATCTAAAAAACATCAGCTCTCATTTTAGGGCATCTTTTTGATGACTCCAAGTTTTAGGAATTTTAGGCTAATATTTGTTCTAATGAATTTTCCTGGAAAAGATGTGTGGATCTTACTCATGAATGATCCTAGTGGATGTTCAGTGTGTCACATACACATAGAATTCAGAATGTGTATGGCTATAATATGTGAGCATAACTTAGACATCAAAAGAAGGTAAAGAAATTCTAGGAAGATTTATCTTATACTAACTGTGAGCTTTGATTAGAAGCCATCTAGAAACTCCCAGAAGAGGGGATGGATTAGCCTTTAGGAACTTCCTTTATGGACTTCCCACTCTGGACAGGTGCTTTGCATTGTCTTCATACACACAGAAAACCGACCTGCATTTGTTTCTCTTTGTCATGTCTTAACGACTGCATTTTTCTCATAGTGACCTGATTTGTGAGCATTTAGATTCTTAAATAAGGTTAAACCATTTCTCCAAATGCCAATAATTCCACTTCTTTTGTTCTCTGGCTCAGATTGACCCCATGGTTCATGAGGGTCCTCTTCTCTTACAAGAATCTGTAAGTTAAATATTTCACCTGCATAGCCAGACAGGGTCATTGGGATAATTCCTTTTCAAGGTTCATTCTTATTACCTAGTTCCTCTCTACTTACTGGGGAAATTGTCTTCCCTGATCAAGATTCATTTCCTTCAAGGTTGGATTCTTCCACTAACTTTAGCTTTGGGCAGGTGCTTTCAAGTACGAAACTTCCAGACCATCAATTCCGAGTTCTGTACAGGAGCAATTGCACAGGAAGCAGGACTCTCAGCTCCCCTGAGCCGTGTGCCATCCATCTATTATTTTTATAAACATTCTAATAGTTTTGTGTCTCAAAGAATTCTTTTTCTGATGGCAGTTTCAATCTAAATCGATGATATATAGTATACTTCTTTTCTTTATTTAAACAAATAAAACTCATTACTGCAACTAGTAATGAGTTTTAAACTTAAATTTATCTTTTCCTTTGTATGATTTCTTTCTATGTGATCATTTTTCAAAAGGAATCTTGAAATGTGATATTTACAGAGGGCTAAGCTAGCTACAAAGCATCTTTATTCAGGAATAACAAATTAGCAAATGATACAGAAAAGC